TTGACCAGTGGGAGACAGGTAAAGAGTGAGAAAGCAAGCCACCAGGTCTGGGTAGCAAACTGTGGTTAGCCACGTGAGAGTCCAGAGCCTTAACCAAGATGCCACTAGTCAGTCCCTTCTTCTTTAATGCTTTTTTAAGATAGATTTTTTGCTATAGGGCACATGCACTTGCCAGAGAGACAGAGAGAGACAGAGATGGAAAACGAGAAATCCAACCCCCCCAAGGGGTGATGGCCATGCTGCAATCCCTTCTCCTCCAGTCTTTTATCGGGATTTTGGGAGCACACACACACAGAACTGGAGACTTTCTTTCTTTTTTTTTTTTTGAGAGTTTTTCGCTATGGGGCACGTGTGCTCGCCAGACAGACAAAGAGAGACATAGAAACAGAAAGCGAGAAATCACCCCCCAGGGGGAATGGTCACGCCGCAGTCCCTTCTCCTCTATTCTACTCTCGGGATCTTGGGCACGCACGCACACGCGCCCGGCGTGAGTTTTAATCTACCGGGTCTGGGACGCCAACTGCCGTCGACTACATGGGAGTCCAGCGACATAGCCATTACGTTAACTGTTGGTTCCCAAGACTTGCTTTCTTACTCTCTCTTTCTCTCTCTGTCTCTGTCTGGTCAAATTAAATAATAATAATAAATAAAATCAATCTTCTTTTCTTTTTTTGAGGTTTTTGCTATAGGGTGCATGTGCTCGCCTGTAAGACAGAGAGAGACAGAGAGACAGAAAGCGAAAAATCACCCCCCAGGGGGGATGGCCATACTGCAATCCTTTCTCCTCCATTCTTCTCTTGGGATCTTGGGCATGCATGCACACGCACCCGGTGTGAGTTTAAGTCACTGGGCCTAGGACTTGAACAGCGTATGGAAGTACAGCAACATAGCCATTACGCTAACTACTGGTCCCTAAATACAATAATTCTTTTTAAAATGATAACAACAAATAAAATTAAGTAAATAAGTACTTCTTAAAATACATGATTCTGAGAATTTTGGATATTTTAGTGGTATTTTTATCACTATTTTAAAAACTATATTATCTCAGGACCAGCAGTTAGTGTAATGGCTACGTTGCTGGACTCCCATGTAGTCGACCATGGTTCAAGTCCCGGACCTGGCAGCTTAAACTCACACCAGGCGCGTGTGCGTGTGTGCCCAAGATCCCAAGAGAAGAATGGAGGAGAAGGGATTGTGGCGTGGCCATCCCCCGGGGGGTTATTTCTTTCTTTCTATCTCTCTGTCTCTCTTTCTGGCAAGCGCACGAGTCCTATAGCGAAAACATTTCCAAAGAAAAAAAAAGAAGAAAAACAAAACAAAACAAAACAAACAACAAACTATATTATCTCAAAGTATTTTGCAGACATCAAATAACCTCTCTGGTTCTTTAAGATAAAGGGTAAGTTTTAGTAACACTTATAAGGAGAAATGGAAGTTATGGAAAAAATATTCTACTTATCCAAGTTTTCATTGACAGGCCTTTCTTACCACATCACCATCAGAAACACAAAACATATAGAAGAGTAGTATGTCATTGTTCATTTTTCTAAAAACAAACAAACAAACAAACAAAAAAAACACCTTAAAATTCCAAAAGACACTAAGAACTCCTCTAACCCACAAATCTTTTCAGGCTTTTAAGACCAAGATTGAAGAATTTGGATCCAATCTCTTTATAATATTTCAGATAGTAATAGGAAAAGAAAAAATTGTATATAAAATCATCCAGGGAATTAAAAGTAAAAAGCTGGCAAACTTTGAAAGAGGAAAGACAAACATTCTGAATGCCAATTTTTCTCACTTTCTGTGGTCTTATAAAGAATACATAGAGGCAGGAAGTCTGACTTAGAACTCTTTCTCTGAAATTAATATTCTGCTTCCTCTCCCACTAACCTGCATTAACTTTGGCCATCAGTGACATCCTTTAAACAAAAACATTTGAGACACTGGAGGGAAGCGATAACAGGAGGATGTGAAACTGCGGTGTAAGCAGCTCTGCCCGAGGGCAGCAGCCCTGTGCGGAGACAGGGCTGAGCAGAAGCTGAGTGCACCCTGTTCCTCCTGTGCAGGTCTGCACAGCGAACTTCTGAGCCCTCAGTCTGAGAGCAAGACACACCCAGCATTTAAGCAAAACCTCACTCAAAGTCAGAGAATAAATCACCCTCCTCCATCTTTGGCACAGACAGATGCTGAGAACATACTACACCAGTTAAACAACAACCTTAAAGAAGTTGCTTTTAAGTCAAATTGATAGTTCTATCAAAATGTCTGTTCTGGGTTTTTTGTTTTTTCTTTCTTTCCATATTTACAACTTGTGTTTGAAAGCTGTGGGGCTTTTCTAATTCAAAGATTCTCTTACCCTCCACACTTAGGCCAGATAACTATCATTTAAACAAACAAGATATACATGTGTTTGCTCATGACAGAAAATCTGGATGTATATGACTGAGAAAGAGGAAAGCCACTTCGGACAGCAGGAAATGGCTTGGCAGCAGCGAGGTCTTAGTGCTGCTCACGCTGGCTGGGCCGTCAGAGCCAGGATGTGGTGTCCTCTCCTTGAACAGAAATGATTCCTGAGAACATGGACTGCAGGCAGCGCCACCGCATTAGGCGCGTGTGCGTGCGTGCCCAGGATCCCGAGAGGAGAATGGAGGAGAAGGGATTGTGGCATGGCCATCCGCCCTGGGGGGTGATTTCTCGCATTCTGTCTCTCTGTCTCTCTCTGGCGAGCGCATGCAACCTATAGCAAAAACCTCTCCAAAAAAAAAAAAAGATAAAACAAGACCACTCGGTAACCACACCGGGACATGGACAAAGCGCAGCACAAACATGGTCCACATCACAAAAGGGACCATCAAGGCGAATACAAGCAACTGCTGTGTCTTTACCAACCAGTTTTAGCCTCAGTCTAGTCTCTTGCTTCTAGCTAAGCTTAAAGCCACCCAGTCACAGAATGATGCTCACTTTTCGAGCAATTTAAAGCAAAGTTCCTTATCAAACCCTTCCCAACACAAACCCAAATCACTTCCATCCTTTCAACACCCTCTTACTGAGATGCCCCTCCCACAGTTGTCCATGGGGTCCAGTCTCCATCACTGCAAAAAGTAATAAGCCCAACTTGTTCAAGCACAGCTATGTTCCCTGTGGTCTTTGGCTGGGGAACATTTGCAAAGCAAGCAAAAAGCCTATAAAAAAGCCCATTCCTATGGGGTAGCACTCTTAGAATTTTGGCATATTTTCTTCTCGACTTTTCCTTTCTTGTTAATTTTTGCCAGAAGGTGCATATGTTTGCCAGAAAGAGACAGAAGAAAGAAAGAAATGAGAAAGCATCCTCAATGGGTGAATGGTCAGACCACAGTCCCTTCTCCATTCCTCTTTCCCATCTGGATCTTGGGCATGCATGCACATGCACCTGGTGTGTTTATCAAACTGTCAGCCTCAGGGCTCAAACAGCATAGTCAGTCACGTGGGATCCACCACACCAAGGGCTGAGTTGACTTGTTCTTTCTTTCTTTCTTTTTTTTTTAAATGCCAGAAGGTATGCGTGCACACGTGAGATAGAAAGAGAAGAGAAAGAGAAAGCATTCCCCAATGATGCTTGGTCATGCTGTGATCCTTTCTCCTCTAGTTCTCCATTCTTTCTGGGCACACGCATGCCTGGTATTTTTTTCATCCGGAACTTGGACTCAGACCCTGGTTTGCCAGGGGGTCCCAGCATTACAGGATGTTCGGTAGCATCATTTCCCTGCCTAGTGACGGACATTTGTTGGCAAATATTCCCTGGGGTTGTGGGGTGGGGTGGAGCAAAACTGCCCTGGATTGAGAACCACTGAATTTAAGCAATGCTTTTCACGGATGTGAACCACTTACGTGTTGATGATAGGCATACCTTTCATAATCCAGCTGAAAGACTGCCCTGAGCTCCCAATAGAACCAACTTCTTGCTAGACGTCTCTACTTGGATAATGCCTGGGTACCTGAAACTCATTAGGGCATGTCCTGACCCCTTATCCTGGCAGATAACACCATCAATTCACCTTGCCAAATTGAGAATTCAACTACTTTTTTGTTTAACATTCAATTTATAGTGAATGCAATGTCCTGTTTATTAAAACCTTTAAACAGTAACCACGTCTATGTCCTCTGTGCTATTTCTCTGTATATTTAATTTTACTTTTACTTTCACCATCCTCCATGCCTTTTTCCACAATGCTATCAGGGCTTGCATGCTCGCCAAGAGAAACAAAATGAGAGAGAAAGTAGGAAATCATTCCCCCAAAGGGGATGGCCATACTGCAACCCCTTCTCTCCCACTCTCCTCCCAGGACTGCACACATGCACATGCATGCAGCGTGACCCTCAAGCCCCTGGGTTCAGGACTTAAACCATGGTCAGCCATGTGAGAGTCCAGAGTCTTAATCACCATGCCACCAGCTTGCCCACCCAGTGGGATCTTTTTAACCCATAAAGCTGATCATCCTCTGTTCTCCCTCCTTTGAGAGCTAGGTATACACACTGCTATAAGCAGTGCCAGGTAACAACGGCCCTCAGTGAAGTAGGATCATGAAATCTTTTCAACGATCAAAAACATCTTGGCTTCTCCCTTGGGAAATATAGGCTGGACAACTTTTTTTTAAAGAGAGATTATTTTACTATAGGGTACATATGCTTGCTGGAGACACAGAGACAGAGAGTAAGAGATCATTAATTAGGAGAGATGGCCACACCATAATCCCTTCTCTATTCTCTTCTTGGGATTTTGGGCATGCACGCACATGTGCCCCGTGTAAGCCTCAAGCCATCAGGTCCAGGACTTGAACCACATGTGGGAGTTCAGCACCCAATCAACCACTAGGCCGCCTGCTGGCCTCTAGGCAGGGCAAATATTTAAAGCTACAAAGAAAGCAATTAGGCATTCCTAACTTATTACCTGTTATATCTATCTCTAAAACAAGAGGAATATATATATATATAAAGATTCCATTTCTTTTACTCACTCTTGTGATGGTTTTTAGGATGGCAAGGCGATCTGCTGGGGGAGGCAAGCCCACAAAGAGTGTTTTGTCCAGCCGGCCTGGGCGCAGGATTGCAGGGTCGATGATGTCTAGAGAAGAGAGGAAAAAGTCTAAATAAGTGAAATAGAATATTTTTAAGAATACAAATGAGAGATGGAAAGAGCCCTATTCTTTTTTTTGTTGTTACTGTTTTTTGTTTTTTTTTTTTCTTTCCTCCCCATAGAATGCATGTGCTCGCCAGAGAAAAGCAAAAAAGGGAAAGTGAGAAATCAGCTCCTGGTTGGGGGGATGGCCACACCTGAAACCCCTCTCTTCCCATTTCCTCGCAGGATTTTGGGTGCATGTGCAAGCACTTGGGCTGATTTTCAAACTACAGGTCCAGAACTCAAATTGTGGTTGGCAATGTGAGAGTCCAGCAGCTTAAACCACCATGTTACCTGTTGGCCCCAGAAGAGCCCATATGCTGAAAGATAAAAAAATTTGATAAACTGACTTAATTAAAAGTAAAAGCTTCTGCTCATCAAAATACAACTTTGGGGACCAGTGGATGGAGTGGTGGTTAAGGCGCTGGACACTTGCACATGGCTAACCGCGGTTCAAGCCCTGGACCTGGTGGCTTGCTTTCTCACTTTTTCTCTCTCTGTCTCTCTCTGGTCAAATTAAAAAAAGAAAAGTGAATGAATAAATAAAACTGAATAACTAATTAAAAAAATACAACTTCAAGAAAATGAAAACTCCACTTTTACTTCCTAGCCCCAAACTAGTTTTCCTCTCGCGTTTCCTATTCCATTTTTTTTTTTTTGAGAGCTTTTTACTATAGGGTGTGTGCGCTTGCCAGAAAGACAGAGACAGACAGACAGAAAGCGAGAATCACTCCCCAAGGGGCGGCCATGCGGCAATGCCTTCTCCTCCATTTTCTTCTCGGGATCTTGGGCATGCATGCACACACGTACGCCCGGCATAAGTTTAAGCCACAGGATCCAGGACTCGAACTGCAGTCAACTACTTGAGTCCAGCATCATAGCCATTACGCCATCTGCTGGCCCCGTCGTATTTCGTATTTCAGATCATGAACATTTCCTACCTTCTCTCCAACACCCAAAATGTCCTTCTAACCACATAAAATTATACCAAGTCTGTCTCTGACTACCTCAACTCTCAGGCAAGGCCAACTATAACTTCTCTTTTCTAGTCTGCTTCTAAACCTCCCCGCTGGTCCCCCTACAATGCTGCCAGGGTTAGCTTCCTAAACACACACCTGATTCTCTTAACGCCTGCTTCCTGTGGTGAAATGATGCCTTCATTTCTCAGTATGGCAGGGAGACCTTTGACGATCTGACCATCTTCCTTACACATTCTCCTACCCTCCTACACAACTGACCAGATTTCTTGCTGTTTCTAAACAATCCAGAAGCTTCATGCCTTCTCTTTGCTTTCAGAGATTGCTTGCCCTGCAATGCTTTCCTGCTCGTTTGTAACATGGGAATTCTCAATATACAGCTCCTCCAGGAAGCTTTTCTTGAGTCCTCCCAAGCAAACTCTCTCACCTTTCTTTGTACCTGCCAGACTCTTGGTACCAGGAGCACAGAGCAAGCCCCAGTATGTATCTGAACAACTGACTTCGCCAAGAGTCCTTTTTAAAAAGACTTATTTAATTTTATTACATTTATTATTATATTATTCAATTTTGTCATAGGCCACATGAGCTCATCACAAAGTCAAGGAAGGGGAGTGAGAAAACAAACCACCAGGTCTGGGACTTGAATCATGGTTAGCCATGGTTAGTTCACATCCTAATCACCTTGCCACCTGCTGGTCCCCGAAGAGCCCGTTTTAAAGCCAAAGCATTTCCAACAGTCTTTCGACCATTAAAGTGAAGGGTTTTGTTTTACTTTAAAGACTTATTTATTATTATTAATTATTTTATTTAACTCACTTACTTACTTATTTAAATTTGACCAGAGTGGAACAGAGTGAGAGAGAGAGAAAGTGAGAAAGCAAGCTGTAAGGTCCAGGATTCGAATCTCAGTTGGCCATGTGGGAGTCCAGGGTCCTTAACCACCACACCACCTGCTGACCTCTATTTATTTATTATTTTTAATTTGACCAGAGAGAGACAGAAAGAGGAAGGGAAAATGAAAAAGCAAGCTGCTAGGTCCAGGATTCAAACCATGGCCAACTATGTGGAAGTTCATTGCTGTCTCCTTATTGGAGAAAGAGACAGAGAAAGAGAGATAGAAAGTGAGACATCACCCCCCTCCGGGGGCATGGTCATGCCTCAATCCCTTCTTCTCCTTTGTTCTCTTAGACTTGGGGGCACACACACATGTGCACCCAGTGTAGTGATTCATGTGTCAATATTAACATGGTTCAACTCAATACAGACAGTAATATTTTTCATGGGCTTTACAACTAAGAAGAATCTGGTAGCAAGTCAATGGTATGTAGTTAAGGCAGCTGGACTCCACATGGGTGACTACCTGGTTCAAATCCCTTACCCAATGGCTTGAAAAACATGTTTGTCAGACACATATGTGTGTGCATGCCCAAAATCCCAAGAGGAAAATGGGGGAGAAGAGATTGCAATGAGGCCATCCTCTCTAGGGGATGCTTGCTTGTTTGCTTCCTTGCTTGCTTGCTTTTTCTCTCTCTCTCCCTCTCTCCCTCCCTCTCTCTCCCCAAAAGCATGCACCCTATAGCAAATTAAAAGGAAAAAAAAAAAAGAAAGAAAAAGAAGAATCTGGAGAATCTGTAAAGAATTCAAAGATAAATAAACAGATCAGAGTAAAAATCCTATGAGGAAAGGTAATATACGCAGATGTTTTGAAGGAGATGATTTAAGGAAAATCTGGTGACTCAATGTTTTCTAATCTACTGAGATTAAAAATAAAAGGTTATTTACAATAGACAAGAAAAAAAATGCTGAACGTAGTTAGAGACTAGGTTGTTACAGGAGACCAAAGACTACTCTTGAAATCTATTAGAAAAGAACTGCTGGGACCAGCAGATGGTGTAATGGTTACATTGCTGGACTCCCATGTAGTCGACCACTGTTCAATTCCTGGACCCGGCAGCTTAAAACTCAGACTGGACGCATGTGTGTGCATGCCCAAAATCCCGAGAGGAGAATGGACAAGAAGAGACTGTGGGATGGCCATCCCCCTTGGGGGGGTGACTTCTCACTTTCCGTCTCTCTGCTGTTCTCTGTCTCTCTGGCAAGTGAGCATGCCCTATAGTAAAAAAAATCTCCCTCTAAGAAAGAAAAAGGACTGTAACTGTTCAGGAAAGGTATAATGTGACTCTATTCGAACATGAGGGATAGTCAAAGAGTCTTACGATGATTCTGATTTTATGACCTAGTGACTGCTCCCCACTATTACCCAAACTGCTTATGACCTTGATAATAATTACCAAACTGCTACTTGCTGTTCACCCCCACTATGTTACAGATACTAACTTAGCCTTTCTGACTGTCCTGCCAATTAGGTGTTATTACAAATCTTACAGATGTCAAAATGATAGCCAGCAAGATGAAACAGATGCTCAAGGTTACTATGGGATAATAAAAAATACATGTAGTTTTTTGCTCCTGGATCCTGACACAGAGCTTCAAAAATCCTTGGAATTTCCTGAGTGACAGGTGTCTTTGTTGTGTTAATAAGATGACTCTTGGCAGGTCTGTAGACAGCTTGAGAATGGGGACTAATTACTAGAAGGACCAAGTATGTGATCAGAGTAACTTTGAGCTTTATCCACCCCACTTCTGGGGAGAAGACTGAGTTCAATCACAGCCAATTAATTAATTAAATCAATCATGTTTAGATAATGAAACCCCAGTAAAAACTCTGGATACCAAGCTCAACATAGCTTCCCAGTTAGTGAATCCGATGATGTGCTGGGAGAGCAACATGTTCTGATTCCATAGGAAGAAGGCAAGAAAGGTCTGTCTGTGCTCCCTCCCAGACTTTAGTCTATGTGTGTAAGATAAGAAAAATACATAGAGCCTCTTTTATTTAAAATGGGGCCAAGAAACCATTAGGACACCTGAACTTAGGCACACAGAAGCCAGACACCTTGGAATGTGTGCTCTTCTGTTTGGTGCCAGGCTTCTGAGAAAAGGCACCTGCAGTATCCTAGATCCCACTGGACTTTTTGTTTTAGGAACATCCTTCCTGTCCACATACATTCTTTTGTTACATTCCATTGTAGTTACAACACTGTGCCAGACTCACCTGTTTACACACTTTGCTTAAGAGTAAGGTTAAGCCAAGAGACTCTGGGCAAGCATTAGGTCATCCTCTTGGTGCGTATTATTTGGAACAAGTTAAATACAATGGCACCAGGGTGATTAGCCTCAATCTTGGCCCAAATATACTTATTTGCTTTACTTACTTTGCCTCAGCATCTATTTTTTTGGTGTGTTATTTATTATTTTTTCATTCACTTATTTTAATTTGACCAGGGAGAGAGAGAGAGAGGGAAAGTGAGAAAGCAAGCCACCAGGTCCAGGACTAGAACCATGGTCGGCCATGTGGGAGTGTTCATCACCTTAACCACCAAGTTGCCTGCTGGTCCCTCTCTATAGTTTTTTAAAATTTTATTTATTTTACATTTCCCCACAAATATTTACTTTACATATCAAAAATTTTTGCTCATACTCCATAATTCTTGACAGTTAATAAATAACTTTTAAGATTTCAAAAACCTGAATTTTAAAGATAACCTTCAAAATATTTGTTTGAATGTTGTTTCCAAAACCTTGAGAGAAACCATAGGACACAAATTCTGAAAATACTTTTGTGGTAGAAAGTTATATTACATCTATCCTCTGCTCATGAGACAACTTTCTGAGCACCAACACAGGAAAACAATCTCATAGGAGTGAAGCAATACTAGGTTGATTACATCAAAGCTTCTGAAGGCTTTATGAACCAAAAAGGGACTACCCCAATTCAAGTTTCCCTTTCTAAGATGTATATAAACTGTATTGTGTACAAACATGGTGAGGTTTTAGATTTATCTACGTTGGATACTCTTCTTGCTTACCTGGCCTGTTGGTGGCTGCCATAATAAAAACCTGCTGACGTGTTTCCAGACCATCCATTTCTGTGAGTAGCTGGTTTACCACTCGAACGCTTGCTCCTGTCTAAAAAGAGATAGATCTGATTCATTCAGTTCCTAATACAAAGAAAAAAAATGACCACTGTCCCCACACAAAACAATATATTCGTGGAGCCAGTAGGTGGCATGGGAGTTAAGGCGCTGGATTCCCACATGGCCGACCATGGTTAGAGCCCCGACCTTGGCAGCTTGAAAAATCACACCAGGCATGTGTGTGTACATGCCCAAAACCGCAGGAGGAAAATGTAGAAGGAACTGTGCTGTGGCCATGTCCCTGGCTTTCTCTAGCAAGTGCATGCATCCAGTGGCAAAAAACTAAAAAAGGCAAAACAAAACAGTATATTTGCCAATCTGAATGAAAGCTTTTGTTAAGAGAGAGAACTGTGATCATTTTCTGAGGAGTCACTATGTGCAGGCACTGTACAAGACTTTTGCTCATCAGCGGAGCTCCCCAGCAATCCTATTACCCATAGTCTAGATGAGAAAACTGAGGCTTAGAGGGGTTATCTGTCCAAGGTCTCAGCACAGAGAAGAGAAGAGATGAAACCATCTTAGTCCTGAATCTCAGAGTCTTACACTTCTGAGGTATTCAAACGGCTAACAGCCACAAAAATTCCCCTTGGAAAGACCTAACCTACATTCACGTTTTGAACTGCAGGTTTCCCAGAACTTCAGGCGTTCTGTATCTTCTTGTATGATACCTATAGGAGTTTCTGGGACACTAAGGCCGTTCCTTTTTCCCTTGAAGTATATAGTACACAGTATTTAAGGTTCAGGGATTGGGTAACTTGGGGGATGAATCACGTAGATACATACATCAAGAAATGTACAGGGAACCAGCAGTTAGCGTAATGGCTATGTCACTGGACTCCCACATAGTTGACCGTGGTTCGTGTCCCAGACCTGGTAGCTTAGAACTCACACTGGGCGCGTGTGCGTGCGTGCCCAAGATCCCGAGAGGAGAATGGAGGCGACGGGATTTTGGCGTGGCCATCCCCCCTGGGGGGTGATTTCTCGCTTTCTGTCTCTATGTCTCTCTCTGTCTGGCTGGTGAGCGCACGCGCCCTACAGTGAAAATCTCTCTCAAAAAAAAAAAAAAAAAGAAATGTACAGTAGTGCCCCGTTATCCATGGGGGATCTGATCCACGGCACCCAGTAGATGCTTGAAATCATAGATACCGAACCTGACTGCTATCAGTCAGAGCACCTTTCTGTTCATGTCATCTACCCACTAATTTATAGTGCTTTTTCCATCTTAACAAGGCACTTATCACACACTATAGCTGTAAATTTTACGGTTTCAGATGCAACAGCACAACTAGCATAAATATCTTTTTCCTTCTTTACAATTTCACAGATAGATTTATTCTTAGCATATACTTTAGCAATCTCAGCATACCGTATTTTTACTTTCCTCATTAAGTTGATAAGTTTCACCTTTCACTTAAAGAAAGCACTTCATGGTTTCCCTTTGGCATATGCCAACTGCCAGTATCAATACCGTTGCACTGGTGGGTCACTGTTAAGTAAAATAAGGGTCACTTGAACACAAGCACTGCCAGACGAGGACAGTCAACCTGGGTTACTAAGAGACTAACTGGTAAGTAGTACACACGGCATGGATACACTGGGTCACAGGGAAGATTCACATCCAGGGTGGGACAGGGCGTGACCAAGTGGAAAGACACAAAATTTCATGATGCTACCCAGGACACTGTGCAATTCAAACGTATAGTTTATTTCTGGAATTTTCCATGCAGTATTTTCAGACCAGTTGAGCAAGAATAACTAACTGAAAATGTAAGAGGGGACTAATGTTGAATATGGTGGAGGAAATAGGAAAATTATGCTGTGTTTCTGTCATTAATTGTCTTTCTTCAATATTTTATGCACAGAGGTGGTGACTGGTTTAACCCATTGATTTCTACAGAAAACTATATTTGGTACTCATTATGATCATTCCTCAGCAACTTAGCACTAATACTCCGGAGATTAACAGATTGTAACTCAGACTCAAAAATCAAAGAAGTTTTGGATTAAAAAAAAAACTGTCCTACATAAGCAAGATAAAAACTTCAGAATCAGGGCCAGCCCTCTAGCACAGTGGTTACGTGCTGTACAGTGGGAGTTGGATCCTACAGGGTTAACCATGGTTTGAGTCCCAGAGACATGACAAATAGGGCAGGTGTGTGTGTGCGCTCATGCCCAGGATTCTGATAGGATGGACAGATGGAAGAGGAAGAAGTGTAGCAGGACCAGGCCCTGTTAGGGGATACTCTCTCTCCTTCTCTGGCACATGCACGTACCCTCTAGGAAAGAAAAAACAAAACAAAACAAAATAACAACAAAAAAAGAGCTCAGAATCAACTTACAAAATGTTGACAAACTTTACCATACTAAAATTTTAACATTCTAGGGCCAGTAGGTGGTGTGATGGTTAAGGTGGCTGGATCCCACATAGTCAACTCCATATTTCGAGTCCTGGACCCAGCGGCTTGAAAATCACACCAACTGCATGTGCCTGAATGCCCAAAATCCTGAGAGGAGAATTTAGGAGAAGGGACTGTACTGTGACCATTCCCCTCAGGGGGTGATTTCGTACATTCTCTCTTTGTCTCTAGTGAGCACATATGCCCTATAACAAAAACTAAAAAAAAGATAAAAGCTCAAAAAAACCCCAATATTCTATAAACATAATTAAAGGTAAGTGATACCAGGAAAAAAACAGTATCAACACATATAACTGGACAAAGAATTAATTCCATCATACATGAAAAGCTCAAAGAGAATAATTTTAAAAATTTCAGTATCGGGCCAGCAGATAACATGGTGGTTAAGGCGCTGGATGCCACATGATGAACTCTGTAGTTCGAGTCCCAGACCTGGTGGCTTGAAAAACAAGCCAGGTACATGTGTGTGTGTGTCCAAAATCTCAAAAGGAAAGTGGAGAAGGACTGTGGTGTGGCCAACTCCCCAGGAGGTGATTTCTTACTTTCCTTCTGTCTGTCTCTCCAGTGAGTGCACACTATGGCAAAAATCTGAAGGAAAAAAATTAAAAATAAAACATTCCAATAGCAAAATGGTCAAAGGATATGATTAGGTAACTTATAGAAGATAAAGTACAAATTAATTAAAGATAGTCAATCTCACTGGTTATTATAGACACAAACTAAACTGTAATGTTTTGTCAAAATTGACGAAAAATAAAAAGATTGGCATCATCTCCTGTTGACAAAAACGTTGGAAATGATTATTTTCACATTCCGATGGTAGGTATTCATAACTGGTAGTTTTTGTGAAGGACAATACAACACTATCTTTCAAAATCTAATATGTATACATTGTCAACTCAAATTTCTACTTCTAAAACTCTATCTTACATATTCCCACATGTGCATAAAAATATGCAATATAAATATTTAGTACAGTTCTGTTAAAGAAACAATAAAAAACTACGTAAATGCTCAAAATGAGAGAATTATGAAGTGAATTCTGGAGGATACAATGCAATAGTTTAAAAAAAATAATGTTATTGAGAGCTGGTAGGTGGTGTAGGAAATATGATACTGGACTCCCACAAAGCCAAATGCAGTTCAAGTCCTGGACCTGGTGGCTTGCTTTCTCAATTTCCCTCTCTCTGGTCAAATTAAAAATAAACAAACAAATAAATATAATTAAGTAAATAATTTTTAAAAATAAATAAAAAATAAAGTTATTAAGTACACAGGAACATTGTCAAGATAGGATGACCACATTTATATTAAAAAAAGAAGCCTAGCCCATACGTGTTTTTAAATGTATGGAAAAGTTCTAGAATAATAGATATTATACACTAAATTATTAGTAGTAATAGTAACTTTCAAGAAGTGTAATAACGAAGAAAATAGGACAAAAGACTTTCATTCTCTTTATACTGATGCTTTATTTGAATTTTACATAAGCAGTTATTTAGTATATCTAGTAAAAACTTTTTTAGGTTTTTGCCATAGGGCACATGTGCTTACCAGAAAGAGACAGTGAGGGAAAGTGAGAAATCGCCCCACAAGGTGGATGGCCACACCACAATCCATTCGCTTTTTAGGATTTTTGGGATGCACATAAACATGCCTGGTGTGATTTTTCTTCTCTTTCTTTCTTCTTCTTTTATTTATTTATTTTTAAGAATTACTTATTTAATTTTATTCAACATTATTCTTCAATTCGAACAGAAAGAAAGAGGGAGAAAGCAAGTCACCATGTCCAGGATGCAAACCAGTCAGCCATATGGAAGTCTAGCACCTTAACCACTATGCCAACTACTAGATGCCCCATCCTCCACCTGGCCTGATTTTCAAGTCTCAGGTTCAGAGTTCAAATCACAGTTGGTCACATGGGAGTTCAGGACATTAACCACTATGCCACCTGTGAGCCCTATCAGTAATAGGAAAATTTTAAAATAATACATTCAAACTTAAATACATCCAAATTCTAAATCATTTTTGGAATCCCTTCAGATGAATGTGCCTATGTTAAAAAAGCAATGTTATAAAAGCAAATCATGGGCCAGTAGGTGGCGTAGTGGTTAAGGCACTGGATTCCCACAATGACCGACTCCATGGGTTGAGTCCTGGATTCAGTGGCTTGAAAAACATGCCGGGCATGTGTGTGTACATGTCCAAAATTCCAAGAAGAGAATGGATGAGAAGGGACTGTGGTGTAGCCAACCCTCCTGGGGTGTGTGTGGGGGGGTGATTTCTCATTTTGCCTACTTCCCCCTATAAGTGAGTGGGCCCCATGGCAAAATTAAACTATAAAAAAGCAAATCACATATATCCGAGTACAGAAATGGTGATAGATAACCAAGAAAGAGGTAACCTAGAAGTTGAAATGTACTTTATACAGGGACCAGCAGGTGGCGTGGAGGTTAAGGTGCTGGACACTGCTGCATGGCTGACCATGGTTTGAGTCCTAGACCTGGTGGCTTGCTTTTTCATTTTCCCTCTCTCTCTCTGTCTATCTCTAGTCAAATTGAAGTAAATGAACGAATAAAATAAAACAAGTAATTACTAAAATATATACTTTATATAGGCAGTCCCCAACCATTTTGGCACCAGGAATTAATATCTTAGAAGATAATTTTTCCATGGACTTTCTATAGAAAGGGGATTATTTTTAGGATGATTCCAGTGCATTACATTTATTGATTTATTGTATACTTACTTCTGTTATCACTGCATTGTAATTAAAAATAAAATAATTATACAATTCACCATAACTCAGAATCAGTGAGAGCCCTGAGCTTGTTTTCCTGTAACTAGATGGTCCCATCAGGGGCTCTGATGTGAATATAAAGCTGCTGCTGATCTACCAGGAGGCAGAGCTCAGGCGGTACTGCAAGTGATGGGGAGCAGCTATAAACACAGATGAAGCTTTGCTTGCTCACCTACTGGTGTGCAGCCTGGTTCCTAACAGGCCACGAACTAGTACCAGTCCAAGGCCCAGGGTTGGAGATTCCTGCTTTATATAGCTGTGGACTTCTTGGATGGCAATAGTTGACAAGGAACTATGCAAATTTAGATTAACCAGCTGGTAAGAGAACTTCAAACTGGTGAAAGGGGCTGTGAACAAAGGAAGGACTTACATATGGCAAGAGGAAGGAATAAAAAATAAATTAACCTGTGGCCATCTATGGCTTGGTGGACAAGTAGCTGGATCCTACTTGGCTAACTACACTACCTTATTGAATACATGATGTCTTAAATTTATTTTATATTGTTTCAAGAACATTTAGCTGAGAAGTATCAGAGATAATAAGGAAGTTTTCCAAACTAGTATCATTTCCATTCCCAACTACTCATTAGTGTGAATCAGGATTACCTCTACACTGAGTAACCAAATAATATGCAGGGAAAAAAAATGGATACAGAGGCTCATACAGAATACGACTCTTATCTCTAAGCTCTGATTTCAAGTTTCTAAGTCGCCTCAAAGAGTCTCAATGTTCCCAAAGAATGACTTTATAAGAAGTACCTGACTTGGAACTTACAAAAGGTTTATGATGCTTTAAAGAACCCGAAACATTTGATCTATGATACTTACCTCTCGGTCTGATCTTCGAGGACATAAAGCATCTACTTCATCAAAGAATATCACACAAGGTGCAGAGTTCTTGGCTCGTTGAAAAACCTGTCGTACTGCACGTTCACTCTCACCAACATACTAAACATACACAGAAAAGAGATAAAATGCAAGGACGGTTCAACCTTACAGTTTGGGCCAAATGATAGCAAAACTAGTTTTAAATTACATTCAGATATCAGGCTCTAGAAAGAATTAGATTGAACTATATGTGATATTTAATCATTTTAACAACAAATCCCATATGGTTTAGTTTAATAAATTAGCCATTCCATTAATATATTAGCTATTCCATTATAAATATATTATAATTAAGAATACTGTAACTTTTTCAAATTTATGAAATGAAGACAAGTGGAATGTCAGGTCTTCTCTAATTCAAAATATCCCTGGGGGCCAGCAGGTAATGTAAAAGGAGCTGGATTCCACATGGCTGACTATGGTTTGAGTTCCGGACCTGGCAGCTTGCTTGCTTGGTTTCTCACTTTCCCTTTCCCCTCTGTCTCTCTCTGTTCAAATTGAAAAAATAATAACAAATGGAATTAAATAAATAAATAATTCTTTAAAAAATCCCATAACTCTAGTACTAAATTTTACCATTTTATAAAGCTTTCAACATTATAAAATACCCAGATGTAATTTTCATTAATTCAACAGTATTTTAAATGCACACAAGTTGAATTACTGTTATTTCTTCACAAGTTGTTTTGTTAACTAAGGGAAGAGCTACTTTGCTCAACATCATCAGAGGACTGAAATGTGCGTCAGTTTGGCATCTCACAGGTTTCATAATGGCTTGTTGTATGTTCAAATCTAATTCAAAGTATACAACATTACGATCAGTGAAAAACTCCAGCAATTCTCAACCAACAATAAAATTAAGGCTAGGCAATATGATGTTTTATAAAATTATATGGTTTTATTTTAAGGCATAAGAAATCAGTCTTGTAAAATTTTAAAGTCATCATGATTTTTTAGATATTTATTTAATTTTATTTATTATTATTAATGAGAGACAGAGAGAAAGAGAGAAAGTGAGAAAGCAAGCTGCCAGGTCTGGGACTCAAACTGTGGTCAGCCATGTGGGAGTCCAGTGCCTCAACTACTATGTCACCTGCTGGTCTGAAACTCATCAAGTTTTAAAAAAGCACTTTTAAAATAAAATTATTGGGACCAGCTGTTGGTGTGATGGCTACGTCGCTGGATTCCCACGTGGGCGACCACAGTTCCAGTCCCGGACCAGTGGCTTAAATTCACGCTGGGTGCGTGTCAATGCATGCCCAAGATCCCGAGAGGAGAATGGAGGAGAAGGGATTGTGGCATGGCCATCTCCCCTTGAGGGGTGATTTCTCGCTTTCTGTCTCATTGTCTCTCTGTGTCGTTCTGGCAAGCACACGTGCCCTATAGCAAAAACCTCTCAAAAAAATGTATTAAAGAAGATAGAACCTGAAAACATCTTTACAGTGCTAGCTATCTCAAAAAATATCATCTATCATTTAATGACTATATGACTATAATAAATAATTCAAAGAACGCACCAGAGATACAAGTGATTATTTTCTAATTTGAATAGAATTTTCTTTCCCTCACATCTATCCTGTACTTCTCTCTCTTTTTTTTTTTTTTTTGTTTTTGGTAAAACAATTATTTCATATAACTTTATTTGCTAAAAATAATAAAGAAAATTCCATCTTGCAGTCAACCTGTGGTATGGTGGTTAAGGAGGCTAGATCCACATGGCTGGCTGCCCAGACTGAGTCCTGGACCCAACGGCCTACAAAAACATGCTAGGCATGTGTGCACATGTTTTAATTCCTAAAAGGAGGCAGAGAAAGTACTGCAGTGTGGCCATTACTCATGGGGAGTGCCTTCTCATTAGCCCTACCACCAGCACATAGGCCCACTGACAGACCAAAAAAAAAAATCCCATATAGATCTTTAAGAAGAAAATATTCCAAAGAAGGATTCTATACTTATTCAGTTTTAGGAACCAACAGATGGTGTACTTACTGGTTACATCACTGGACTCCCACGTGGCTGACCATGGTTAGAGTCCCAGACCCAGTGACTTAAAACTCATGCCAGGTGTGTGAGTGCATGCCCAAAATCCTGATGTGACCATCCCCGCCAGGGAGTGATTTCTTGCTTTTTGTCTCTCTGTCTCTCCAACGAGCACATATGCCCTATAGCAAAAATCTCTCTTAAAGAAAAAAGAAGCCATTCAGTTTTCAACCATTCTATTTTGACTTTTGCAAACACCCTTATTGAAAATATCCTCCCTAAACTCAGCAATGACACTCTAGTTACAAAATTCAAGGTCCTACTTTCAGTTTCTTCTATACTATTTGCTCACATTTGATAAAACTGAAAAAATTACCTTCCCTTGGTTTTTAGGCTTAGGAAGTCTTTTTTTTTTCCCCCTTAGGTTTTAGCCATAGGACACATGTAGTTGCCAAAGAGAGACAGAGAGAGAAAGTGAGGAATCACTCGCCACAGCGTGGGGATGGCCTTGTGGCAATCCCTTCACCTCTATTCTCCTCTTGGAATTTTGCACATATATGCACACATGCCCAGCATAATTTTCAAGCTGCAAGGTCTGAGACTTAAATGATAATCAGCCATATGGGAGTCCAATGCCTTAACTACCACATCACTGGCTGATCCCTAGGCTTAGGAAGTCTTATGTATCTTCTACAACTGTTCAAAGATCTGATAATGTTTTATCCTATAATTTGAATAACCATTGCGTTTTCTAATCTAAAACAATGGCTAAAATCACAATAACTTACCATATTTAATAATTCAGGACCCTTGACAGAAATAAAATTTAGTCCAGATTCATTTGCCACAGCCTACAAAAAAGGATAGGAAACAAAAAGATTTAAGTAAGACAAATATATAATAAAATAACGACAATAATTTACGACAATACAAGGATGCTCTGTCGCTTTAACACTTTTATCCTTTTTTGTAGTTAACAAGTATGCTCCCAGGAAAGGGGGTGGGGAGGAGAGAGAGAAAGAGAGAATGAGATAGGGAGAGAGGGGGAGAGAGAGGACCTCTACAGGGAAAAAGACCACACCTCAATCTCTTCTCCATTCTTCTCTTGGGATTCTGGGCACACATGCACACACACCGTGTGTATTTTTTGAGGTGCTGGGCCTAAGACTCGAACCATGCAGTTGACCATGTAGGATTCAGCATCTTTTTTTTTTTTTTTTGAGAGGTTTTTGCTATAGGGCGTGTGTGCTCACTAAACATACACAGAAAAGAGATAAAATGCAAGGACGGTTCAACCTTACAGTTTGGGCCAAATGATAGCAAAACTAGTTTTAAATTACATTCAGATATCAGGCTCTAGAAAGAATTAGATTGAACTATATGTGATATTTAATCATTTTAACAACAAATCCCATATGGTTTAGTTTAATAAATTAGCCATTCCATTAATATATTAGCTATTCCATTATAAATATATTATAATTAAGAATACTGTAACTTTTTCAAATTTATGAAATGAAGACAAGTGGAATGTCAGGTCTTCTCTAATTCAAAATATCCCTGGGGGCCAGCAGGTAATGTAAAAGGAGCTGGATTCCACATGGCTGACTATGGTTTGAGTTCCGGACCTGGCAGCTTGCTTGCTTGGTTTCTCACTTTCCCTTTCCCCTCTGTCTCTCTCTGTTCAAATTGAAAAAATAATAACAAATGGAATTAAATAAATAAATAATTCTTTAAAAAATCCCATAACTCTAGTACTAAATTTTACCATTTTATAAAGCTTTCAACATTATAAAATACCCAGATGTAATTTTCATTAATTCAACAGTATTTTAAATGCACACAAGTTGAATTACTGTTATTTCTTCACAAGTTGTTTTGTTAACTAAGGGAAGAGCTACTTTGCTCAACATCATCAGAGGACTGAAATGTGCGTCAGTTTGGCATCTCACAGGTTTCATAATGGCTTGTTGTATGTTCAAATCTAATTCAAAGTATACAACATTACGATCAGTGAAAAACTCCAGCAATTCTCAACCAACAATAAAATTAAGGCTAGGCAATATGATGTTTTATAAAATTATATGGTTTTATTTTAAGGCATAAGAAATCAGTCTTGTAAAATTTTAAAGTCATCATGATTTTTTAGATATTTATTTAATTTTATTTATTATTATTAATGAGAGACAGAGAGAAAGAGAGAAAGTGAGAAAGCAAGCTGCCAGGTCTGGGACTCAAACTGTGGTCAGCCATGTGGGAGTCCAGTGCCTCAACTACTATGTCACCTGCTGGTCTGAAACTCATCAAGTTTTAAAAAAGCACTTTTAAAATAAAATTATTGGGACCAGCTGTTGGTGTGATGGCTACGTCGCTGGATTCCCACGTGGGCGACCACAGTTCCAGTCCCGGACCAGTGGCTTAAATTCACGCTGGGTGCGTGTCAATGCATGCCCAAGATCCCGAGAGGAGAATGGAGGAGAAGGGATTGTGGCATGGCCATCTCCCCTTGAGGGGTGATTTCTCGCTTTCTGTCTCATTGTCTCTCTGTGTCGTTCTGGCAAGCACACGTGCCCTATAGCAAAAACCTCTCAAAAAAATGTATTAAAGAAGATAGAACCTGAAAACATCTTTACAGTGCTAGCTATCTCAAAAAATATCATCTATCATTTAATGACTATATGACTATAATAAATAATTCAAAGAACGCACCAGAGATACAAGTGATTATTTTCTAATTTGAATAGAATTTTCTTTCCCTCACATCTATCCTGTACTTCTCTCTCTTTTTTTTTTTTTTTTGTTTTTGGTAAAACAATTATTTCATATAACTTTATTTGCTAAAAATAATAAAGAAAATTCCATCTTGCAGTCAACCTGTGGTATGGTGGTTAAGGAGGCTAGATCCACATGGCTGGCTGCCCAGACTGAGTCCTGGACCCAACGGCCTACAAAAACATGCTAGGCATGTGTGCACATGTTTTAATTCCTAAAAGGAGGCAGAGAAAGTACTGCAGTGTGGCCATTACTCATGGGGAGTGCCTTCTCATTAGCCCTACCACCAGCACATAGGCCCACTGACAGACCAAAAAAAAAAAATCCCATATAGATCTTTAAGAAGAAAATATTCCAAAGAAGGATTCTATACTTATTCAGTTTTAGGAACCAACAGATGGTGTACTTACTGGTTACATCACTGGACTCCCACGTGGCTGACCATGGTTAGAGTCCCAGACCCAGTGACTTAAAACTCATGCCAGGTGTGTGAGTGCATGCCCAAAATCCTGATGTGACCATCCCCGCCAGGGAGTGATTTCTTGCTTTTTGTCTCTCTGTCTCTCCAACGAGCACATATGCCCTATAGCAAAAATCTCTCTTAAAGAAAAAAGAAGCCATTCAGTTTTCAACCATTCTATTTTGACTTTTGCAAACACCCTTATTGAAAATATCCTCCCTAAACTCAGCAATGACACTCTAGTTACAAAATTCAAGGTCCTACTTTCAGTTTCTTCTATACTATTTGCTCACATTTGATAAAACTGAAAAAATTACCTTCCCTTGGTTTTTAGGCTTAGGAAGTCTTTTTTTTTTCCCCCTTAGGTTTTAGCCATAGGACACATGTAGTTGCCAAAGAGAGACAGAGAGAGAAAGTGAGGAATCACTCGCCACAGCGTGGGGATGGCCTTGTGGCAATCCCTTCACCTCTATTCTCCTCTTGGAATTTTGCACATATATGCACACATGCCCAGCATAATTTTCAAGCTGCAAGGTCTGAGACTTAAATGATAATCAGCCATATGGGAGTCCAATGCCTTAACTACCACATCACTGGCTGATCCCTAGGCTTAGGAAGTCTTATGTATCTTCTACAACTGTTCAAAGATCTGATAATGTTTTATCCTATAATTTGAATAACCATTGCGTTTTCTAATCTAAAACAATGGCTAAAATCACAATAACTTACCATATTTAATAATTCAGGACCCTTGACAGAAATAAAATTTAGTCCAGATTCATTTGCCACAGCCTACAAAAAAGGATAGGAAACAAAAAGATTTAAGTAAGACAAATATATAATAAAATAACGACAATAATTTACGACAATACAAGGATGCTCTGTCGCTTTAACACTTTTATCCTTTTTTGTAGTTAACAAGTATGCTCCCAGGAAAGGGGGTGGGGAGGAGAGAGAGAAAGAGAGAATGAGATAGGGAGAGAGGGGGAGAGAGAGGACCTCTACAGGGAAAAAGACCACACCTCAATCTCTTCTCCATTCTTCTCTTGGGATTCTGGGCACACATGCACACACACCGTGTGTATTTTTTGAGGTGCTGGGCCTAAGACTCGAACCATGCAGTTGACCATGTAGGATTCAGCATCTTTTTTTTTTTTTTGAGAGGTTTTTGCTATAGGGCGTGTGTGCTCGCCAGACAGACAGAGAGACAGAGAGACAGAAAGCAGGAAATCCCCCCCCAGGAGCGATGGCCACGCCACAATCCCTTCTCCTCCATTCTCCTCTCGGGATCTTGGGCACGCACGCACATGCTGCGCCCGGCGTGAGTATAAGCCACCGGGTCCGGGACTCAAACCGCGGTCGACTACATGGGATTCCAGCGACATAGCCATTACGCTAACTGCTGGTCCCAGGATTCAGCATCTTAACCACCATGCCATGTGGCTGGCACTATTTTTTCTTTTCTTTTTTTTTTTAAAGTTCATTTTATTTATTTATTTTATGAGAGAGGGAAAGACAATGAGGGAGGAAAGAGAGACAAGTATCCTTGATAGGGTCTTGCCAAGCTGCAATCCTTCCCACAGCCTTTCCAACCAGCCAGCATCACAGATACATAGGTATATTTGGCACATTCAGGTCAACCAGGATCCAAACCTGGGCCTCCCATGTGGCTCCAGTATCGCACAACAGTGCCCCACCTTCTGTGGGTGGGCTGCCTCTTTTTTATTGGAAGGCAAAGAGACAAATGAGAAAAGGAGAAATGAGTAAAAAAGAGAATGTAAAACAATAAACAGAAGGAAGTAAAAGTTAACCTACAACTTTATAAGAATTACTACAACAAACTACAAATCCAATGCAAATGACACAAAACATTAATGTAAATTTTTTATGTAAGCATAATAATGTAAATATATGTATACCCTTGTTAGTATTTCTGATAAAACCCTATTCACTATATTCAAGAAATACATTGTGCCTTGAAAGCAATCATTCATTCATTTACAAACCAAAATTCAAAAACATCACTCTCAGTCTTTATAAAGGATCAATATTGAGAAACACACAGGCATGTATGTAGAAGAATCTAAGAATCATAAACTGAATGGCCTTCCTTTTGGCCGAAACTGCCATCTTCCAGAAATTAACCAAAATGACGAACACAAAGGGAAAGAAGAGAGGCAACCGATATATGTTCTCCAGGCCTTTTAGAAAACATGGAGTGGTTCCTCTGGCAATATATATGTGAATCTACAAGAAAGGTGATATTGTAGACATTAAGAGAATGGGTACTGTTCAAAAAGGAATGCCCCACAAATGTTACCATGGCAAAACTGGAAGAGTCTACAATGTCACCCAGCATGCTGTTGGAATTATTGTGAACAAACAAGTGAAGGGCAAGATTCTTACCAAGGAATGAATGTACGTATTGAGCATATTAAGCATTCGGAGAGCAGAGACAGCTCCTAAAAACGTGTGAAGGAAAATGACCAGAAAAAGAAGGAAGCCAAAGAGAAAGGTACCTGGGTTCAACTAATGCACCAGCCTGCTCCACCCAGAGAAGCACATTTGTGAGAACCAATGGAAAGGAGCCTGAACTGCTGGAACCTACTCCCTATGAATTCATGGCATGATGGGTTTTTAAAATAAACTAATGTAGCCTATAAAAATGTTTGCCTTAATTGAGTAGAATTATGTTCCCTCCCCAAAGCTAATTTTTATTGGGCTCTAATTCATTTTGTAATATCTTTATTCAAATTTAGTATTTTTTCACCTGAAAGATGTTAGGTGGTTTGGTTTATACAACAAATAAAACTCAGTTGATTAGGAAAAAAAAAAAATTATAAACTGAATGCAGAGATGAAACATTAATAAAATCACTTTGAACTTCAAAATGATCAGAGAACAGATTTCTTTACTATTCTTGGAATCTGGCAACTGATCTTCAGATCGACATTCAACATACCTTGGCATCTCCACTTTGATCACACAGGTATTTCAAACCTGTTGTTTCCAAAACAGGATTCTGGACTCTTACTCTCCCAACTCCCTCCAAAACCCACTCCCAGATTCTCTTGCTCCCCACCTCAGTAAATGTGGTTTGTCGGCCAAAACTCTGGTATCTCATTTGCTCCTCTGTCATGTCACATTATCCAATCCACTGGCTAGTCCTAGTAGTGCTGATGCTAAAATACGTATGAGTCTGACAAACTCTCTCTTCTCCACCTTACCACTACCCTCATTCAGACCACCATAACATCGTGTCGGGAAATGTAATAACAAAAAAAACTATAGCAGGTTTTCTTTCATTTTTGCTTTTCTCCAGTCCATTTTCTACACAGCAGTATGAACACTCTTAAAAAACAAATTAGATCATGTCATTTTACTAGGCTTCCCATTTTCCTTCAAGTACAATTTGAAATATTTACCATGGCTCACAAGCCTACAATGTGGGACAAGACAGCTTCTCCTTGGCCAAGCACTTCTTTCTCTGGTTCTCACCAAGCCTGTTACCACCTCATGGTAACTAAACTACTACTCCATTCCTCTGCAAAACTCTTCTCTTTCTTTTCCAGTCTCTTCTGGCTAAAGCTAGTCATATAGGGCTCTGTTCAAAAGTCGCCAGTCCTTGAATACTGTATCTAAAGCAGCCACCTCCCACTCACACTATCACAAGACTTTTTTCCCATGGCAATCTAGCTGAATCTTCAGTTGTACTGTTTTACTTATTTCCCGTTGGTCTTTTCCAAACAGATTCTAAATTCTATTAGACAAAGTACCTTGTCCACTAGTTCATCCCTGCTACCTCACATCATTTCTAGTAAAGACTATTTAGTTTAATAAATGTCTGGGTAACAAACGATATGCATGTGTGATCTGTCATGTAAAGCTGCCCAGTGTGTAGACTATCTACCTCTTGATCCTCCTTGTTCCTGCTGCTATTTTTATGACTTGCCTACCTCTGGCTCAACCCTGTAAGAAAAGCAGTCAGGACACACAGCTAATAAAATATGACTCATCTAAAGTGTTTTCACCACCCACATGCCATTTAACACAAGCAATGCCAAATAGTTCCTGAAGTGGGAGGAAACCTTTCCTTGTCTTGTAAATGAAATACAGTGTTCAAAATTAAAAATTTTTCTCTATGATTGGTGGATATCATTGTGAGTCTTGCACTCAGTGTCAGGAGCTCTTTGCTATTTACTGTACAGTTCCAGATGACTAAATGATTTCTGGTGTTTTCAATTTCTTTCTAACCCTTCATCAATTTTTAGTGTGTTGGTACCAGTAACCACATGCTCTTACTTTGTGTTACTTACAAACGCGGTATATATTGGTGATTTCAAAAATTATATCATTTTATAGTTATCATGAACAAACTAAACCACTAAGATCAACCAAGAACTTGGTGTTTTATCTAATTCCAGGTTGCCAGGTACTGACCTGTACGTAGTTCCATGACTGTACTATCAGTAACATTTTGCCTCCACCGTTCAAGGGCACTTTTATTCTTGCTAAACTCTCAGACATGTAGTCATGGATGCCTTGGCGAATCGGATGAAAGTTGTGAGCAGTATTCTCCAGAAACAATTCATGTGCACAAAATACAACATATTGTCTAAGTACATGGACCCAGTGAAGCTGGGAAGTCCCTCCAAGAAGTCCTCAGTAACATTCCCTGCTCCAAAAGGTCAGCTACCAGAAATCTCACTAAACCAGAGTGGTACTACATTGTTAGCAATTTGATGAGGGGCGGAAAAAAAAGAAAAAACTGTATCTATAATTTTTGTTTGTTTGGTTGGTTGTTTAAATTATGTGTGTTGAGAGAGAGAGAGAGAGATGAAGAGATGGACTTGATACTTCAATTCTCCAGCCTCCATAGGTTTTTGCCATAGGGTGGGCGCCACCAAGCCCTATAATGTTTTAATAGTCAATGGATCACAAATTATCCAACCTACCTATTTCTGCTATGAACAGGACTAATCAAAGGCGGATGTAACTAATTAAAAAGACATTACAAGGCATGTATGAGTGTATCCACCTGTGAATTCATACACAGGTATTTAGGACCTTTCTTCTGGTTATTTTTCTGTGAAAACACATAGATCAACCTTCTTGCTTGATACCCTTCACCACCCCCCCATGAGTGTACATGACCTCTGGCAAATAAAAATTAAATAAGAGGGGCCAGCAGGTAGCAGTTAAGGAACTGGATCCCACATGGGATCCATAGTTCAAATACTAATGCTGGAGGCCTGAAACTTGTACCAGGCTTGAACGTTACTGTGTGCATGCCCAAAATCCCAGGAGGAAAATGAAGATGGGATTGTGGAGTGGCCATCCCCACAGGGGGGTGATTTCTCACTTTCTCTCTCACTGTCAGTCTCTGGTGAGCACACAAGCCCTGTGGCAAAGATCTTAAAAATAGATGGATATATAAGTTAATTGAAATAAGAAAAAAAATGCCATTAATCTTAATTTCTTATTTATGTACAATTCAAAATAGCTCTAAAAGCTGACAAAGGTTAAGTCAGTTATAGTTGGAATAGCACACAGACATTAAAAATGATTGCTCATGGGAACCAGCAGTTAGCATAATGGCTGTCGCTGGACTCCCACATAGTCGACCGCGGTTTGCATCCCGGACTCGGTGGCTTAAAACTCACGCCGGGTGCGTGTGCGTATGTGCCCAAGATCCATAGAGGAGAATGGAGGAGAAGGGATTGCGGCGTGACCATCTCCCCTGGGGGGTGATTTCTCGCTTTCTGTCTCTATGTCTCGAGCGCACGTCCCCC